TTTGCCAACGGGCTGAGCCAGGAGCCGCTTCCCCTCGTGAGGAACCGGGATGCACCTCGAGCATCCCGCTAGCGCCGGGGTTCCGGAGCGCGTCGCTGCTCCAGGCGCCGGCAGCAGCTCCAAAGGCTACGCGCGATCTCTTGGCAGCCTTAATCGGAAACCGGAGCTGGGCACGAGCGAGCATCTCTCCCGCTCCAGCCTAATGCACAGCCTGACATTTAAAATAGCCTTTATTGCCACATACTTACATTTTAATGTTCTCATGGTACTGCCTGGTGTCTGAAGGCTGGTTGTATAATGGCTGAAATAAATAAGAAAAATGAAGGCATAAATGGTACAGTCTGACATTCAGAAACTTGCACCCCTGCGATGCCGCTGCCTCGACTTGGCCTCCCACCTCCCGCTGCAGCCCCCATCTCTGCTCTGCTCCAGGGCTGGAGGGCGCAGGATCCCACTGGCGCAGAAGTCCCGGCGCATCCCGGCGCGTGGGAGGGCGGGCAGCGCTCGAGCTGGCGCTGCGGTTTGCTCCGGCGCGCACGGCTGCTCCGTGCTTAGAGGAAGGGCAGAGAGCTTTGGAACGGATGGCACGGGGGAGGCGAGGGGACAGGGGGCTCCGAAACGGCAGGAGAGGGGCTGCGTGCTGCAAGGAGCTGGGTCTGCTCGCCGGGAGCCCAGACCGACTCGCGTGCCTCGTGACACCCAGGCACGATGCTCTTGGCTCTGGTGGCCCAGGGGTTTTGTCTAAAGTCACCCAAAATGCTTGTGGCAGAGCCCCCAGGGCCTGGGCGCCCCACAGTCCAGGCGGGAGCACCCGCTGCAGGGCTGCTCTCCTCCTCGAGCTCTGGGGCACCTCGGCTCCATCCCCGGATCGCTCCCGCTCCATCCTGCGGGATGAGGGAACCGCCACGACGCAGGCCCGAAGGCTGCTCTAGCCCCCTAAGCTGGCGGGGATGTGGCCGTGTTAATAAACGCCTGCACCATCAACAGCCCCATGTCTCCCAACGAGGGCAGCTCCTGTCTGGCCATGGAAACGCGCCCAGCTTTCCCCTCGGTTTATCCATACGCTTCCACTGAACCAGCTGTGCACGACTGAACATCCGGGCCAAGTGCAGCCAGGGGGACTGCACATGGAAGGCAGCAGCCCGGGCAGGGCTACGCACAGAGCAGCACCTCTCACTGCTCTTCAGAAGGGCACCGGGGCCACCAGCAGGGCCCAGACACCCGCTCCCCTGCAAGGGACGAGGAGCTGCAAGGCTGCCCGGAGCATCCCAGCACGGCAGTGCCAGGCAGTGCCAGGGCAGGCAAGAGGCAACGAGGAAACCCCCAGAAAGAAGCACTTCTCCACAGGGTCTCTGCTGCAAGGGCTGTTTCTATCATGGATCCTCTTGGATCTGCTGGTCCACCTCCAGGCTCCGAGCTGGCTGTGCACTCCCACTTGGAAAGCTCGGAGGAACACAGACATCTGTCTCATCACGTAGCTCGAGAGGGACCGCTCCGTGTCATGGAGAGAAGGAATCAAGCTGTGGCTCGGGAGCACCACGTCCACGATCACCCTGGCAAGACTCGACCGGAGGAGCTGCTGGGCTGGGGGAACTGGAAATACCGATGAATGCAAGTGCCTGCCTTCCCTCCGTGCTCATAAATCCACAGCAAAGGGGCCGGCTGCGAGGAGTCCCCCAAAGCCCTCACTCCTGTTGGCAGAAAGGTGGAATGAACGTGCTGGTTTGTGCCTGGGTCACCTCATGTGCATAGGGGACATCACACATGCCCTGACACTGCTCAGACCCAACACTGCTGAGTCGGTTCTGCTGTTGCTCTCACATGGTGTCAGCGGCCACCTGAACTCTTCGTTAGCAGATCGAAGGGTTAATGGCAAACCACTGTGTGCATCGCTTAAGAAGAACAGTCAAGAAATGCAGAAATAGGCAACTCTGGGAGCCATAACCAAGCCCTGCACCCCAGCAACGTCTCCAAGAGATTCCTGCCTCCACAGTGGTCTCAGCTCTGCACGCAAGTGGAACAAGCACAAGAGAAAAGTCTTCACCTACCCCATAGAAAACGTATCTCATCGGTGATTAAATCATAAAAAAAACTGTTCTTAACAGGCAGGGACTTCACAAGCATCTTCCTTCCTCGGAGCTGTCCACAATCTGCACCTAATTACAGCTTTCTAAATGAGTAAGCAAACATGAGTCTCACAGGTCAGACGGGTAAGGAGCCACGTTCAAAACACTCGCAGCGTTTCTGCAGGGTGAGAGACACGTACCGCATTTCTCTGGGGGACGACACGTGAGAAAAACCAAACTGCTCTTGCTGACAAACCCTTGGATGCAGTGGAGCCTCTTTACAAATTAAGTGGAGAGCAAGCCAGGAATCTGCCTGGCCACCGCAGCATCCCCGAAACTCCTCCCCGAGGAGGAACCGAGTCACTTTAACACGGCCCCGCGACGCTGCAGGGATAAAACGAGGGGAGTTACTAAGTCATAACCCCCGGTGTAGCGGGGAGCCCAGCCCCGAGGGCCCTAGTTTGGCAGAGCAGAGATGCAGAGCTTCAAGCCTGTCCCTTATGGCCTCACTCAGTTGAGTGGCAACTTGCTCTCTTGAGACAGAGTGAGAAAATCCCTGCCAAAGCCAAACCCAGGGTTTGACGTAAGGCAAAGGTCCTAGAGGAGCCCTCGGATTAGGACTGATGCGGTGACTCACTCCAGCAACGCTCCGGATTCGAAGTTGGCTGCTCCAGCGCTGCAGCACTCGCATCCGTGCCGGGCTCCTGGGATCCGGTTGCTGCTGTGCGGGAATTTTGCTGCTCGGAGAGGGAGCCAAGCGCAGGGCAGCACAGCCGGGACCGCGCAGGCGACCAGGACATCCTGCATCAACTGGTGTCGACGTGGGGGCACAAGCAAGGGCGCCCCAAGGCCCCATCAGTGAGGCTGGAGTGGGGTTTGGGTGCCAATCCATAAGCTTCAAGGCACAGAAACCTAACCCTAAGGCTCCTACAGCAGAACCAGACGGCGAGGATTTGGGTGCAAGGCCAGATCTTGTAGGGTCACATCAGCGACAACCAGGCAACAGGCGGTCAGTGCCCGGCGCCTCCCGAAACCACAGGGCTGCCAGGGCCTCCCAAGGCTTTGACACAGAGACCCCAAGCTCCGAGAGAGCTGCCCAGGACGGGGAGCCCTGGGTGACAGACACAAAACTTCCACGTCAGCCTTTACCGGAAAGCTCCTCCAAAGCCCCCATCCAGAGCAGTCTCCAGGGACCAATGGACGTGCACAGCACAGGTCTCTCTTTCTGCCAAAACGCGATCCCTTCGGAGCAACTCGCCGCGGTCCCTCGGCCGCTTCCGCCGGCCCGAGCCGGACCCACCGCAGCCTGGCGGCTTCTCCGCTTCCCGAAAGGAGAGGTGGCCCCAGAGCCCGTCCTGCCCCCGGCACCTAAACATGAGGGGTGGCACCACCCCCCGCCCGGGGCTGCTGCTTGCTGGTGGGCTGTCACCTCCTGCTGCTGTCACCTCCTGCTGCTGTCACCTCCTGCTGCTGTCACCTCCTGCTCAGCAAGGACTAGTGTCTCTGTGGGGACCTCCCGCCCGCGCTAACGCGCTGCGTATCTGCCACCATCTCGGCTCGCAGGCAGTAACCAGGGCTCTCGAACAAACAGAGGTGACACATCCGCAGCCCGGGCGGATGGTTTCGTGTGGGACCGGCCCCGGGGTGCCCCCAGCTCCCTGCAAGCCCGGGCTGCTGCAGGGCAGCTCCGTGTCACCCGTGTCACGCGGCGGAGATCGCAGCGTTCGGCTCGTCTCCTGGGAGCACGCAAGGGCCGCTGGCACATCCAGGGGCTGCTCGGCCAAACATAACGCGGGCAGGAGCTGGGCAGGAGGAAGCACCTCTCTCCGGGCAGCTGGAAGCGCATGGGACGTGCGTGGATGGAGCAGGGCCAGACCTGGCTGCCCGCGGCCTCAGCAGAGGTTTCCTCGTCCCTCGGCAAAGCGGGACGCGGCGCTGCAGGAAGGGCTGGCCCTGTGGCACTGGCTCCCGAAGCGCTCCGGGGCCTGGGAGCTCCAGCACCCACGGCAGGGCATCAGCCAGGCTTTGTTGTTATTATTAAATAAAGCCAAAACCAAAACATGTCCTTGGGAAAAGGAAACACACTGTCTTTGGGATGAGGAAGTGCCAAACGTGGGCATGGCCGATCCGAGGAGCAAAGAGAGACCAAACGTTTTGAGCCTGGAGACTCCAAGGGAAAGGGCTGAGCCCCGTTCCGCAGACCCCGAGCGTGCCCAGCGGGTGCCCGTGACGCTCCCGGCTGCT